GGCATGAAATACTTCCTTGGTCAGTTTGGGTCAGGTGTCTGAACTGTGTGTCCCCTGCACTGCCTGTAGCGAGACCGCGAGAGCTGGGAATGCAGCTGCAGGATCAGAATCTGAGAAAGACCTTGAATTCAGTGCAGGCATTCCCCAGCTAAGACCTTATCAGTGCTGCTCTCTGCATCCAGGAACACAGCTTCCTAGCAGCCACAGTAAAGAGTTAACTCTTTCCTGACTGAATCCAGCATACCTAAAAAAAAAAAAAACCAACAGACAAATACATCTAAACCTAAACCAGAATTTTCCTTTTAAAAGGTCTCCCTTATATAAGCATTTAGTTTTACCCAGCTAGGAACTAGTGATACCCTTTCCAGTCAAATTTCACCATACGTAAAACAGCAATGCCACTTGTTTGTGAAATACAGTTAAGCAGCATAAATTAAACAGCTGTTTCAAAACATACACTATATAGGCAGCAGTTGCAACACTAGAAGCCATCTGTCTTGTGTAGAGCTATAAATTAATACTCCTACTCTCTGTTCAGAGGGTCTTGCTAGCTCTTCAAGCCCACACTGCTGACCTACACAAATATTAAGAGCCCTATTGTACAGAGCTGGGGAAACCCATCCTCCCGGTTACACTGCTGTCAGCAGAAAGCAGAATTTTGAGCATGGACAACAGGGAAGGGGAAGAAACACTAAAAAGTGGCACTTGAGTAACCACAGCACCACTATATTTCTTCCTCTTCTGCAATCAGAGTCATGCCAATACAAGCAGGCGATTGTTTAGGACGAAACAAGATCCCTCCCTCCTGGAATACTTTTCGCATCCTGCAAACTTTTTATTTCCATAACTTCTCCGATGCTGAGGAGAGTTGAAGGAGGGCTTTTACATGACAACTTTTTACAGTGTAATTTAATTCCTAAAGCCTACACCCAGTATTTCCTCTCCCATTAATACCTAAACCTTTAAATGACTTGCGATTAAACTGAATCCAATGTCCCACAAATGCATGAAGTCCCCCTGCACCTAGAAAAAACCTCAATGGCAGATGTCTGGTTTCGGCAGGTTTCTTTCAGATCTAGAAGTTAAAATTCAAGTAGCGACTTTTGAAAGTTGCTTCCATTGAGTGGTATTTCAGGTCTGTGGGACGCTCCATACCTTGTGCGTTCTGAAGACTGTAAATCAATCCATTCTTATGTGTCAAACTTCATTAGAAGTAATCAAATTTCCAGAAATCCGTGTGGGGAAGAAAACGCATTAAATATTCCAGGTGAATACAGGATACTCACAAGAAAGTGAGTCCTAAGTAGAACGTTACAAGGCATTTAAAAAGTGTTTTCAACTCCCCAATTTACTGACAGAGGCAAAGTTTCATGCACTACACCCAGAAGTGCATGAAAAGCACACAGTGCATTCTACTAAATCCACTTCAGCATATGTGTGTGGGGGAGAAACTCAGCCACAAATCGTTGGCTTGGCTGTTTAAAATACTACCTAACACACCTGCAAAGCTTATCACTGTGACACAGACATTACTTCCAGAGAACACCAAGCAGGGAGAGGGGAGGAAGAGCCAAAAATATTCAGGGCCTTCCCAAAAGAGTTATAGAGCACTTTACAGAAGAATGACTTGAATATATTTGGTATAAATAAATACTTCATTAAAGGAGGTATTTTAACTTAGGCTAGATAAAGTGCTTCCTCTATCACTGCAGAGGTCACTTAACACACAGAATTATTATTGACAGGAGGAAGAAATACTAAAGAACACTCACAGCTCATTCTCAGACACCCTCAAGACAAGCAGCGTTTGGTTTTTTTTCCATTTGGTTTGAGTTAGAGCACAATTGTTTAAGTATTCAAAACATTCTGTACCATAAACAGACTATCTGAAGAGCTCTCTAGCTCAAGACTACATGCAATGCAGTGTAAATAATTGGCCAAGACCACTGATTATAGTCAACAAACCACCAGACCAAAGCTAACAGCCAGGTGAAACAAAACAATGCAGCGTGCTGAAAAGAAAATTACAACAGGTTTAAGCCGATGAGAACAGTGGGAGGGTGACCAGGCTTGAAAACCAGTGTTTCAAAACCTCACAAGATCTCCCAGCTTGTACCAGAGACATTTAGGTATAGGGTAATCAAAGTAGAAAGATTTTTCTTTCACTTGCTCTAGTCACAGCCAGCCTGGATGGAAAGTTAAAAAAAAAACTCCCCAAAACATAGTTGTCTGAATCAAGTTAAGACTGCTGCCTCTTCAGCTGAGACTCCCTGTCACCTCACTGTTACTAAACACTTAAGTAAGAATTTCCTTGGAAATAACCAGTCTGCTAAAGAACAAGTTATTCTGGGTAAGAGAAACTCTCTCCAGCAACAATATTACCCAAATACACCGTTAAACAAAACCACGAACACAGAGAAACAAAGCCTGGAGGCGGATTCAGAGTCCCCAGTTACTTCTGAATCAGAAGACTATGCATTTTCTATTAATTTTGCAGCCTCTTAACACCACTGCAAAATGCTAACACCCAACATCACACCATACTTAAGGACTTAAGTTACGTAACAGTGTGGTTTTAAAAATAAAGTCACTGCAAAGTAATTTAAAACACACAAGAAGAAGAAACAAGCATTTCTGTGCATTCTTGTCTTTATGCAGCTTAGTTCAGATCTGCTGCTATTTTGCTGCAAAGCTCTTCCCAGACAGGTAACTGACACCACCGGTTTGCATCTCAAATGCTCCCAGTTTGTTCAGACAAGCCACTCTCAAAAGAAGTCCTACTGGTTTAACTTCACCACACGCCTAATGTTTGATTTGAATCACTCTTCCAGTGCTTACTTTATTTGCTTTAGCCACCTGATTTACCTTTTCAAGTCATTTTTAGCTCAACTGAATCTGTGGAAGTCAAATGGCATACCCACAGTGGCATGCAGACTGTAATGTATACAGTATTTCTACATTAATTGGTGAAGTTGCATCTCAAAGAAGTAAGCCAGGTCCTACGGTACATCAGTGCAATGCAAAGCAGGGGCTCCAGCTCCTGGTGTAGCAGATACCTGAACCCAGAGTGTCAGGAAACCCTGTCTGTAGCATTTAGGCAAAAGAGCAGCTCCCAGCCTCTGCAGAGTTCAGTACTCACTAAAAGCTGGGAACCACTGTCCAGCTAAAGTGCCTCAGCCAGGTGCCATCCAAAGACCTTTAAGCCACATCTGTCACACTGTCATCAGTACTGTCAACTCCTCTTATAAATCATGATGCAATGTGTTCGTGAAGACAGCCCCATGAGTCAAAGGCTCTTCTACTGACTCACAGACCTATGTAATATCAGGGTGTTAAACAGCTTTTATGATTTGACTAGGTTTCATTAAAGCTGCCTTTTCTGTTATTTCCCACATCAGCTCTTAGTTCCTTGAAAAAGGGAAAGAAATAGTGTGATCTGACTACAACACTGCTCCCTCTCAAAAGGGATGGGGTACATATCTCAGGTCCATGTTATTTCATTCACCCTATACTGGCTTGTACACAAAGAGCTAACAGAGGGAGGGTTTTCTTTATTGGAGCACATTCTTCCATTTGAATCAGGAAAAGCAA